ACGGGAAATTACCCTCTGCCTCTAATTGAAGAACATTGAACATTGAACATTGAACATATATCAGCTTTTTATGTATCCACTATGCTTGGCAGTTTTATTTCTATTTAATGAATATACAAAATAAATGAATACATAGATCAAATCAATACGCATGGAGAATAGCAGACGAGCATTACCAGAAAATTGTGTCCAATAATAGCCCGACCGTTGACCGTGGCAGGGAGCCAATCACACCCCAGAAACCCGAGACCGGTTCCACCAATATCACCAACACGAATTTGTTCCAACCAAAGATTGGGTTCATCGCCCGAATGAACAGTCTGTGGCTGACTAGGGGGTGCCCACAGAATCATGGATCGATCCATGCTGCAAGAGAGTAAGGCCGGAGGGAAAGAAACACATTCTCCAGTGGAAGTCTCCCAGGCGACTCCGGTAATCCAGTTGTCGTGACTGGAAAGAACACTTTCCGAAGCAATGCACAACTTGAGTTCTACATGGTCGGGTAGGTGAAGCTCAGCAACCTAAAAAAAAAATTCCGATGTAAAACGTGACAGATGCATTGCCTTTCAGATAAATACCACACTTTTCGCATTCGATTACCCGAGTGTCAAGACAAAGACTGTCGGTTATCATGAGTGAACAGTGGGCCCTAATCACTGGGGTTTACCTATTCTATTCTTTATCACCAAATATTGAGTCTAAAAATGACTTGTACGAGGCGTGTGGATACCTCTGGTAGTTGAACGCTGGCAATCGAAAGCAACAAACATGCCTCTATTCAGTACTCGATTTAACGATAGGGGGTAGTTTTTCAACATAGCAAGATATGAGACTAACGCTTCTGGGATACAACTCTGGATACAAGCAACCCTGATAACCGATAGGCAGAGAGAGAATTTCGCGAATCAGTTGGCTGTTGCATCCTTAGTAAAAGCAGTTCGGATACCGCGATACCACGTATACAAAGAGTCTGAATCGCGTTTGATAATTTGGTTCATCGATGCTGTCTATATAATATCCATCAAAGAGACTGTGTGAGCTGCATTCTGGTTGTGGCACCAGGCCATCACACCATGAAGAAACTGACTGTTCCTGTCCAAATACTGACTTCATTGCGATATTATCAACAAAAGAACACTGTATGCTTCAGAAGAGATTACCAGACTTGAATCTGAAATACGCTCGACACACATCGCAAACTCGCACAGCATCTTCCAAAAGTGACGATGGAATAATTTGAGTGATAAGTAAAAAGCCACCAGTATTCATCCACAAAACAGTCAATCTAAAACCATCACTGTAGCGTCTAACAAAGAACGAAGAATCAGCGTGAGCCCGAAAAACCGGAAGGCAATGCAGAGCTTACTTTTAAGGTGGATCGATCCTCCTTGGAGTGGGAGCATTGACCGTCTGGGCAGTAAAGACGCCATAAACGGATCACATGATCTTGGGCACCGGAGACTAAAAACGCCACTGGTGTACTACCTGTGAGGCGAAAACAAAGATCCAGGCACCGAACCCAATCTGTGTGCCCGAACAGTGTGGCTGAATGTACTAACTGTCTTGGTTCAACCGTTGATGGAGTACCGGGCACGTGTTCTGACCATACCTCAATGTTTCCGTTATCCAAGCCAACAAACACCATACACAGGGAGCTGCTCTGATGCGCAGGTGACTGGTGTGCGGATAGAGGCCAACACATTGAACGGACACAATGACACATGGTATGTTTCCGCTGAACAATCAGCGGATCGCTTGTGAAGATGTTTGATAAACCATCCGTTGTGATTTTTATTTTGATATACCAGCTACAAAGCACTGTATCCGCGACCACGTTGATCATTAATCGGATCAGATCTGGATGTAAGCTGGTCCCACTCGGTAGAATACAACCATCAATCGCATTTGGATTACACGCCTCGGGTAACTGCAACTCGAGCACCTTGAACCAATTGGAATGGTTCTGGGAAACGGCATCAGGAACCAGACTAATCACATGGCAGCTCCAAAGCAAAACCTTACCACTCGAATCCAATGATGCAAGGAAACGGTAAGGGCAATGCTCGTACTCAGCACTCGCCATGTTCGGGATCGGGATCCAACGAACCGCAATAACGGGAGCATCGTGACCAAGAAGCACATGGAACACGTGGAACATGGGAACAGATTGACGGAAAGCATGTTCATCATCTGTTCCGTGTAGCGCACGAACTACATTGGCCAAACAGACTGCATGTGAGGAACCGAAAGCGAGTAGGGCTGTGGAATCGTCAGGATGTGTTCGATTTGGGAGAATGGACATACATCCAGAGTGGCGATTCACACATGCTGAGGTATACAAGGGACGAATGGACTGGCCAGAAAGAGATTCATGACCATGATTCAGAATGTCTGTGGATAGCGTCATAGGCTAACGAATTTTGTAGAGAAAAAAACACGGAAGAGAGAAACTATATTGAACAGATACACAAACATAAGAAGGCTGATTTCCTAAAACGAACGTATTATTTCGTGTTAAAAACTTTCCAAACAAAATACCGTTTATCGTGATAACTGACAGGTGTAACATTAGAGGAAAACCATCAAATGAAAAATAAAAACCGATGGCAATCCCAAGAGCAATTGTGTAAATTGTGTCACCAGTATCATCAGCAGTAAAGCAACATTAGCTTGTAGGGGAACTTTATTTGTTGTTACAAGTCAAGAACACAAATTACAAACTTCTCACATGGGGATGTAGAATGTCAGTGCTGATCAGTAATGTTGTTGGTGCAATCGGAAACTCGGACTAGCGTGAAGACTTGTTCGATGAAAATATTGAGGGGGCGCACAGTTTGGTGATTATTCTTATGAAACCAATGCTTTCCTGTCAGTTGAAATTTAAAAACCATTAGCAATCCTTCCCAGGAAGACGTAGTACGTACCGCAAGGGATAACAGCGATGGGTTTCAACCGTGTTTGTTTCCTGTAATAGATTCTTGGTAAAAAGGTTTCTCTCAAAAGCCATGAATGGTAATTACAAATCGCATGGTGTTTGGTATGCTTCTATATCCCTACAATCTACAAACGTTGGCCCCGATTCAATCTTCAAACGTCAACGCATAAGGCGCTCCGGGTAAAGCGAAATCACCGACGAAAAATGTTACACGGTTCATCAACTGGTCAGTCAGGGGTGGTAATTTATCTATTCAAAAACCATCATCATCGCCATTATCGTACGGCGACATACGGTGAAGCGAACTTCACTGATCGTTGCCAAACATGCAATACAAAGTGAGTGGTCATATATAAGGAGGCCAGGGATGAAACGTATTTTGAGAGACGGGAAAGAAAGTGAACCTCTGTGTTTAACACACAGAGCAAACAATGTAACTAAGCATACATACTTTTTCTGGCCTGATAACTCATGCACTAAATCTGAGTCATAGCGTGCACGAACTATGAGAACAGACAGTTGATGTCGAGCTATCTGAGTTTGCCGGTTTTGTCGTCGACCAGTTAGTCGAAGAGTGAATTGCATCAAAACTAATGCGTGGTCAGACTCAACGCAGGTGGTCCAATAGGACCCGAAATTTTGCACTGAGCCACGCCAACGGTAGCCTGGTAATATATGGTTGATTTAAGTTAGCGTACCAGTTGAACCGGAGCGCCACGTTGCTGTTCGTTAAGGGTTGTGTCGGAATTTGGTACTGGATAGAAACAAATAATGGTCTGCGCAGAACTGAAGAAGTCGATCGCCGTTGTCTATTCGCTGAGGGGAGGAGCACAACTACCGCCTAGGCGAGCTTCCGATACGCTCAGTTTTCCAATCTGCGCGTTAAAATCACTTGCAAGTACAAGTACGAGTTCGTCGAAGAAAGCGCGTTCTTTTGTGTCAGAACTGCAATTGGTTGGTGCATGCGATGAAATGATGAACAAACACCTTCTGGTGTTGCTTCCCTTCCAGACGCTGATTGAACCCTGGAGACACACTGCACATAGGGGACTGTTTACGGAGATGGAATCGATAAGAGGGGATTCAACTCTGTTATTGAGTACAATACCGACCCGACGCTGACCTAGTGTATGTGCTTATTGATTGCCTGATGTGCAACGAAAGTAATCTGGGAATAAATCCTGCGCGCTTAAGTGGCTCATAGTAGTAGGATTCTGAATCCGACATGCAACAAATATTGATCCCTGACGAATCCACCGTAAGCGCCAGACAAACTTGTTGATCTACCTGCATTAGAGTCCTCACGTTTCCCGGAAACACGTTATCTCAGAAGGCATAAGGCCTCTGGCCCCGATGAGCTGTTCCCATCGGCGTTTAAGGATGGAGAATCAGCATTAGTCTTGGAGTTGATGAGACTCCTGGGCTCAATATGGGAAAGGGAAGAGGTTCCAACTGAGTGGTGTGAATCGGTCATCTTACCGGTTTACGAGAAA